ATTTCACTTGCTCTTGAATCCTCTTTAGCCAAATTTGGGGAGTTTTCAGCCATTGTTTCTTTGTACTTACCCTTCTCTTGCCTCTCCTTTCAGGGTCTCAGTGTTTGATCAAGTATCTCCTAATTCTCAGTTCTTTTCTTTTTTCAGCCTATTTTCATTCCATTGTTGAGACTGGGTGATTGTTCTGCTCTTTTAATGGGTTCCACTGATTCCGTCCTCTGTCCTCTCAATTTCTGCTCTTTGCCCATCCACTGAGTTTATTTCAGTTGTATTTTTCAATTCTAAACCTTTGCTTATTTTTTATATCTTCTCTTTTGTTTCTGTACATCCTATTTCTTTATTGACACATTTTCTTTTCATTTATTTCAAGTGTGCTTGTGATTGTTCAGCATTTTTTAAATTTAATTTTTTGGTGATACTGGGGCCTGGTGCTTGCTGGACAGACTCTCTACCACTTGAGACACTCTGAAAGCCCCCCTCCCCCACACACCCCTTTTTTTTTGTGGCACTAGGATTTGAACTCAGGGCCTCATGCTTACTAGGCCAACTGCCACGTGAGCCACTCTACCAGCCCTTTTTTGTATTGGGTATTTTCAAGATAGGGTCTCAAAAACTATTTGCTTTGAACCTCCATCCTCCTGATCTCTGCCTCCTGAATAGCTAAGATTACAGGTGTGAGCCACCAGCAAGCACCTGGCTCTCCAGCCTCTTTGACTCTCAGTATTTTGGAGATAGAGTCTCACTTTTTGCCCATGCTGGCTTGGCACTGCCACTTCCTGTTTTATACTTCCTGCCATAGCCGGGATGCAGGCATGAGCCACCACACTCAGATTTTTCTGTTGAGATGGTGTCTTGTGAACTTTTCCCCCCAAGGCTGTTTTGAACACCAGTCCTCCTGGTCTCAGCCTCCCAAGTAGTTAGGATTACAGATGTGAGCCACCAGTACCTGGCTAATTTAATTAAAAATCAAAAAACACCACAGCAAACAAGTGAATACTTTTGTCATGTTAAAAAAAATAGAGGGAAGGAACTGGGTGCTGGTGGTTTACTCCTGTAATACTACTTACTAGTTACTAGTTACTCAGAGGAAGGAGGATGTCAAGTTCAAGGGCAGCCCAGGCAAAATTAGCAAGACCCTATCTCAAGAACAAAAAAGGTTAGGGGCATGGCTCAAACACTTGCCTAGCCTAACCTGAGACTCTATTGCCCAGCTTTTTGTGTTTTGACATGGGAGTCTTGCTATGTAGCCCAGCTGGCCTCAAACTCATGATCTTCCTTCCTTGGCCTCCTGAGTGTTGGCAGTGTAGGTATGCCACGGTGCCCAGTTCTAATCCTGCCCTGAAGGGGTGGGTAGATCTTATAGGAGGGGGTTCCTGTCCTCAGAAAGTTGTTACAAGGTGAGGCCACCCCACGTGTTGGTCCCTTCTGCCTGAGGATGTTCGTTTTCCACTTCCCTGCTGTGTGGTGACAAGGCCAGGGAAACCTAACCAGGATGCCAGCACCATGCAGTTTGGAAGCTCCAGCTGCCATAATTGTGAGTCACATTAACTTCTTTCTGTATGTGGTGCTGGGAATCCAACCTTAGGCCTCGGGAGGCTGCTAGGTAAGTGAGACTAGTGCTCTACCTCTGAGCTACTCTCCACCCCCACTTTACACATCACCCAGCATGGGCTATTTTGTTACAGTAACACAAAACTGACGAATACGTTTACCTGTATTATTTTCACTGCCGTGCGATGAAGTTGGGTGAGGTGCAGGGAGGGGAGGCGCTCTAAGCAAGGAAAAAGGATGAGAAGAGAGGACGGTGGTTACAAACCAGGATGTGACCAACAAGAAAAGCAGGGTGCCTTAGCAAGTGACGCCTACATTACTTGGATGTCCCCTGGGCCGGGGACAAGTCCTGCTGGAAATTGGAAACCTTTTCACATTGGCACAGTTACGGGAACAAATCAACTCAGGTGAGTGCCACTTCCACGTGGGTAACGCGCAGGGCACGGCTGCGCTCCGGGGCACTGCACTTTCTCGTCTGCGGAGTCACTTACTGCAGTAACGGTTGGTGGGGCGGAGTGGCTCCGTCACAGAGCACCGTTCCACGACGAAGACACGCGCTGTCCACCTCCAGCCCTCCCACCGAACTCAAACGGCGGCCCGCCGAGTCACCTCACCGCGACCTGCACAGGACCCAGTCACGGAGCCACAGCACAGGCGACAGACAGCCACGCGAGCCCGACGCCGGTCGCCAACGCCCGCCCAACGGCGGCGCACCGTCCCGGCTCTGGAGCTGAGGGCCTCTCATCGGACCGACCGGACCAGCTCCGTCTCAGCCGACCCGCCAGACCCAAACCACGTGCGGACTCCCTCACGTGCATGACCCGCGGCCCCGCACCCCCCGGCCGGCAGCGGGGTCCAGCGCTCCCAGGCGACAGAACCGGGCTGAGAGCGACTTCAGGGCACGGAGGCCTCCAGGAACGTCGGCCCAGAGTCCGACGGACGCAGACAGCGCCAAAGCGGGTACCATTTCCAGAGTAGGAAATTCGAAGCGTCTTCGACTGATGGGCCGATAGGGGAGCTGGGATCACCAGCACCGAAGACAGGTAACGGCCACAGGGAAGGTTTCAGAGGACAGCCACCGCGGGCGCAGGGCGCTCTGGGGAATGTAGTCCAGAGAAAGCTGGACACTGCGGGGGCAGTCAGACCTGGGAAATTTAGTCCGGCGCTGCTCCCGCCCCCACCAACTGCAGGCGCAGTGGATTTTCGGAAATGTAGTCCAGAGTAGACCGTGCACTACAGGGCGCGGTGGAACCTGGGAAATGTAGTCCCTGTAGAAGACCGTGAGACCCTGCGACCACAGGACATAAAAATCAAAAGAAAGCAAAAGTCAAGTTTCAAGTGTTCTAGTCCCAGAATAAAAACGACTCGAGGAGAGAGCTAAGAAAGAAAGCGGTGAATATTACCAAGGAAACAGCCTTTTCAAAACCGATAGGTAAGTCAAAAAATTAAAAAATGCCATCAGGTATCAAGAACAATAGGTGGAAAACGTGTTTTAAGGCACATAGCTGCACAACATGAAGCCGTCAGGGATGGCAGCCTTCCATTACTTGCCAAGATGGGATATATCCATTACAGCACGTCTCTCAGACTACTTATCAAACAAAAAAAGCAACTGAGGACTCAGAAATGTAAGGAACTCCTGCTTAGGAAAGAGAAGCTGAGTTCAAACCCTAGGAGAAAAAAAGGGTGGAGGGGAGGGGGGAAAGAGATATGGGAAGAGGGAGAGAGGGAAGGGGAGGAACAGAGAAATAGAAAAAGAGAAGGAGAGGGAGGGACGGAGGAAAGAACAGAAGGAGGGAAGAAAAAGCAAGCAAACGTGGAAGTGAAAAAATATGGCAACACCTTCACTGCTATAAAAGGTATTCAAAAGTATTTTAAAATAATGTATTACGTGTTTTGACTATTCAAATGGTATGAAAAGGAAGAAAAAGGAAGTGAGAAGACAGGGAAACTATATCCATAAAGTGCTAATAAAGAACTGCTACAGCCGCGCATGGTAGTGCAAGCCTGTAATTCCAGCACTCTGCAGGCCAAATTTGGGGCTGAGTATATCTAAAACAAAACCTATCACCCCACAATTCTATATCCAGTGACAATGCCCTAGAAATACTCATTGCCAAGATCTTTGCTTTAAAAGAAATGTTGGGCTGAAGATGTAGCTCAAGTGGTAGAGAGACCTGCTTTGCAAGCACAAAGCCCCTAGTTCAAATTGCAGTGTGTGTGGGGGGGTGGATAGATGGGGTGAGCTTCAGTGGTGAGCGCACCTGAGGCACACAAGGCTCTCTGGGTTTCATCCGCAGCCTGGGAGGAAGAGGAAGAAAAACAGTACATGTCTAGTTTTTGGGAGTTGGAGTTTGCACTTTGGGCAAGTCTACCAGTTGAGTCAGCACCTTTCTGCCTGCTTTTTCAGGTAGGAGTTTGCTTTCTGTGCCCATGGCCTCTGAATTACACCTCCGACAGCTGGGATGACAGGTGCACATCACCACAAACAGGTTCTTTGCTTGAGATTGGGTCTCGTTAACTTTTGCCTGGGCTGTCCTCAAACCAAAATCCTAGAGCAGCAGGGATTACATGAGCATCATGCCCAGCCTCAGTGACAAGTAGTAAAGGTTCTGAGATCAACTTCAAATGTGACATGTAACTGACACTAATTTGGCAGTACTGGGCTTTGAACCTGGCCTCATGCTTGTTAGGAAGCCACTTCACTAGATCTTGTGTTTGATATTTTTTGATAGGATCTCTCCAGTTATTTGTTGGCTTTGAACCATGATCCTGCTGCTCTGTGCCTCCTGAGTAACTAGGATTACAGGAGTGAGCCACAGGTGCCATTATTTTTTAAAGTAACTAGTAACATTCTATACATCAAGTTACAATGTAAAGGAAGAATATTTAAACCAGAGCAAAATGGACCAGAGATGTGGTTCAAGTGAAGTCCTGAGTTCAAACCCCAGTACCACCTCTCCCCCAAAATTTAAACTCCTCAGGATTAATTTACACAACAGAATTCTGTCCATTTATCTGAGCCACTTATCCACATACTACCCTCTCCCCACCTATATAACAGAAACAAACAAAAAAAAGTGTTTATCAAAGCAGTAAGAGGAATTAAATCTGATTTTTTCAATGAAGCCTGTGCATGTAGCCTTAATGAAAAAAAATTTTTTTAGTGGTACTGGGGTTTGAACTCAGGCTTCTCACTTGTAAAACAGTGGCTTACTGCTTAAGCCACACCTCCAGTCCATTTTGCTCTAGTTATTCTGGAGATGGGGTCTTGCAAACTATTTGCCCAGGTTGGCATCAAACCATGATTCTCCAGATCTTAGCCTCACAAGATGGTAGGAGTAAAGGTGTGAGCTTAAATATGTTACAAAATTTTGGAAATCTAAGGACAGAGATCACATAGTGTACATCATAACATGTTAAAAATAAGATATTTCGAGTATGCGATTTTTAATTTTAATAAAATAGATGATTTCAGTATTACATAGAGAGCAAGTTCATTCACTCATTGTTGATAAAATTTTAGAAATATGTTCTATAAAAAGTTTAGTATTTGATTGGGGATTAATGCATTGTAACAGTTTTACAGGTATAGAGTTCCCATCTTCACCCATACTTAATTTTGAGAAAATTTAAAAATACAGAAAAGTACAAAAAATAAGACAAGATATCCATATACCACAATCCAGAATTACCCAGTATCTTCATATATTTACTTGTAGTCTTTAAGAGAAACAAATGTCTATATAAAAAGCTGAGGCCCCTGCCCACCCCACCTCCCACTCATTCTTCCCTTCTCCACTTCACAGGCCACCACTACTATGGAGTTTGGTCTGTGTCCTTCCAATTCACCTTAAAAACATTTACATACATATGTGAATCCATTAACAATATAAAGAACTAAGTTTCATAGAGAACTTTTAACTCAAAATTTACAAAGTCATTGTACCATATCCATCAATCTGCACCTCCAATGTGCATCCTCAGCATCATTTCTGGTACTTCTAATTACATGCGGATGTCACTAGTGCACTTTACACGTGTAGTATCCCCTCCTGATGGGCAGTCAGTCCATTGTTTCCAGTATGTGGCCACTACAAATCAAGCCACAGTGTATTTCCTGGTACGTACTTCCTGAGCAAACACACTCACGAACATAACTGCTAGGTAATTTTTTAATGTTACAAGGCATGTTTCCTTACTTCTAACATCTTAGCCACTTTAGTATATAGCTTTTCATATTTCTGTTTTCAATCTCCATGGATCTTACTTTTACGTATACTTCATGTCTAGTTTTTTTCTCCCTTGGAGAGCAAATTACCTCCAAATAATTTTTAAGAGTTTGGCTATTTCTTCATCTCCTGATACTTTTTTTTTCTTATTCTAACTTTGAATAAATGCACAAGTCACTTTCTGAAATCGCTTCTGCTCTTTCCAATCAATATAAGAGTTGTGTATTATTTGCAGATGACACCAGTTTTTGTCTTTCTTTCCAGTACTTAAAATTTATTTTTCTTGTTAACACCACTAAAGACCTTTAATTGTATGCAGATAGCAATTAATAGGTATGTTTTCTGTTGTTGGTTTCAGTGGAAATGTATCTAAAATTTCAGCATTACCTTTGCTGTTTGCTGTAGATTTTTCTTATTGGATACAGGCTTTCATTCACACAAATTTTCTCTTCAGTATGAATTCTCTGGTGTTCCTTAACTTTTTAGCATTTGCTAATCTATATTTCATCGGTGGTCCTTTGACTCAGACTGAGTATTTATGATGCACGCCAAGGTGTAAATTCCTGGTGAATGCTATCCCATACTGAAGAGTCACAGGGTTTTTAATGAGTATGAATTTTCTGGTGTCTGATGTGGTGTGACTTCTGGCTGAAAGCTTTCCCACATTCACTACATTGGTAAGGCTTCTTACCTGTGTGTATTCTCAAATGCAGAGCTAGGGTTGAGAACTGAGAGAAGGCTTTCCCACACTCATTACAGCCGTAGGGCTTCTCACCTGTATGGCTTCTCACATGCACAGTGAGAGATGAACTCTGAGAGAAGGCTTTTCCGCAAACATTGCACTCGTAAGGCTTATCCCCTGAATGAATTCTCACGTGCACGATCAGTGATGTTCGTTGAGAGAAGGCTTTTCCACACTCATTACATTCATAGGGTTTCTCTCCAGTGTGAATGTTTTGATGCTTTATGAGGTACTTCTTCTGCCCAAAAGCTGTTCCACATTCATTACACTTGAAGGGTTTCTCTCCAATATGAATTTTCTCATGCTCAGTAAGGTTTGATTTGCCACTAAAGGTTTTCCCACACTCTTTACATATGAAGGGCTTCTCTCCTGTGTGAGTTCTCTGGTGTCTGATGAGATTTGATTTCTGAATGAAAGCTTTCCCACAATCTTTGCACTCAAAAGGTTTTTCTCCAGTGTGAATTTTCTGATGGGTAAGCAGGTTTTCCTTCTGGCTAAAAGACTTTCCACAATCATTGCATTCAAAAAGCTTCTCTCCGGTGTGAGTGTTCTGATGTTTAATGACATACTGCTTTTGGCTAAAGGCTTTGCCACATTCGTTACATTCAAAAGGTTTCTCTCTATTATGAAAATTCTCATGCTCTGTGAGATTTGATTTGTGGCTGAAGATTTTCCCACATACCTTACAGGCAAAGGGGTGTGCCCCACCATAAATTTTCTGCTGACTGTGGTGTGACATCTGAATGGAAGCTTTTCTTTATTCACAAGGTTTGTCTCCAATATGAATTTTTTGATGATTGAGGCTGAAAATATTTCCACATTTCTTACATGTGTAAGGCTATGTCTGATCCCTCTAATGCAGAGTAAAAGACAAAGTTTGAGAGAAGTTTTGGTCAATGTATTAAAACCTTTCTCCCCAGTATAAATTTTCTAATATTCAATGAAGTTTGGCCACATTCACTGATTTCTCTCAGCCTCAATTTTCTGCTGCTCAGTGAGTCCTGTCATCTAGCTAAAGGCTTTTGAATATTCCTTAGAAGCACGGGGTTTCTCTTTAGCATGACTTCTACATTCAGTGAGCTATGACACTTGAGTAAAAGCTTCCCGACATGCAAAAAATTCATAGGGTTTTTCTCCAGTACAAATATGAACGCTCTGTTATCAGATGGGGCCAAGTTTTTAAACTGAAGACATATCCACACTGGTTATACTAACAAGGAAAAACTACCATGAGAAGTAAGCTGGGGTAGAGTAGTTCCAAACTAATAAAACTATGTAACTTCCTTCCTGTTTAAGTGTGAATTGTGTTCCAAACTCAAAACTCCAAAAAGAAATAAGATCTGTGAGTAGAAGAAGGATTTTTCCAATTTCCTTATATTTCCTGTTTTTTATCCTCAGTCTGTACTTTACGGAAGATTGATGTAACTTGCCTTCCAAGGCTTGACATCTATCTGCTCTTCATCTTCTCAGAGTTCTAAAACAGAGCACAAAAAAAAAAAAAAAGAAACTGCTCAGAACAATGGCTAAATGGCACGTGTAAGCATTCAGTAAATATTGCCTAAGGCTATCATCACTATTTATGAAATTCCCCATTATAAATAGTAAAAACATAGACTGTGCTTTTTTGGAATGAAGTAGTAGCTCATCTCCCAGAATGAAAATTCTTATGACTAATGTCTCAAACTAAATTTGGAGAAGAGAACCAAATGAAGGATATTTGAGTAGAAAACTGACATAAGTTTACAAAGCTTAGATTATTCTTAAAAAATAAACTCCATTTCAAAATTCGGCCAATTGCATTAACAATGAGAAATTACTCAATGGGATAAAAAGATTATCAGAGAATAATGCCGAAGTTGTCACATGGTTAGCTTAGTTCACAGACAATGAGACTCTTAAAACTGAGAAACGTCCACATGGATGCCTAAGAAAGTGAAAAGATCAACTAAAACTGCTTCTTACCAAAACCCCATCAAAACAGACAAAGGGAAGTGGTATAAATTCACAAGGAAAAAGGTTATACAGGAGACACTGGTAGACAACAGATATCAGTAAATATCTTTTTTTTAAGTGATGCTAGGAATCAAAGAGTCCTGCACATGCTACAGACAAGCAATCCACCACTACGTCACAGCCCTAGCCCCATTTATTAATTTTTTAATAATGGAAAGTATATGGCTACTTTTCAGTGCTTATGTCCACCACTACGTCACAGCCCTAGCCCCATTTATTAATTTTTTAATAACGGAAAGTATATGGCTACTTTTCAGTGCTTATGAAGAGTCTTATTTGAGGAAGCTTATGTAAAAATATGTCAATGTCAAGCAAACTGGTTTGTACCACAAATTATCAGAAAGACACAAAAAATGAAGACAGAATGAAAGATTCCCTGAGGCATTTTACTTTCATCTACTGAAGCTATTCAGATAACTATAAGAACCTAGGCAATAGGGAGCTTATTTACTGAGTGATTGTTAAGTATAACTGTGCACACATTTGAGGAACCCCTAAGGGAAAAACAGATAAAAATGAAGAGAAAAAAAGCAGCTCTGAGGAAATAAGGGCATAGAAAATGACAAAGTACTATATAAACCAATCACAGAGGGCTATGAGAAGACATACTGCCAGTGAAACAGTAACAGGGTTTATGAGAAAGAAGCATTTAAATAAAAAGTTTCCTTAGAAGTTAGTCTGCTGGGGTTGGGGGGATAAAGTGGAGATGAGGTGGATTATATTAGCAGTATCAAGGACAGAGTCTCCATTCTTTAAATGAATCGTATTAGCTCACCGTAGCAAACTCAGGCATGGCCAGGTACCTTGCTCAGCCAATAAAATATAATCACAAGTGACAACTGTCATTTCTCGGTGAAGTTTAATAAATTCAGAGGACACACAAAAGGAATATAACTGAGCAAAGGAAGTCTCAGGGGCTGGTCCCATGGCTCAAGTGGTAGAACACTGCCTTTCAGGCAAGCATTAGGACCTGAATCCAATCCCAGTAGCACCAAAAAAGGGAAAAAAAAAAAAAGTCTCAGAAAAAGGAGAAACTTATTTTAAGAGGAAATATTCAAAAAACCAAAAAGCTACTAGTAAGTCATCAATCTCCAGAGAGGAAGACCACACTTGGTACTGGCACAATGAGTAAGACCCATACTTAACCATTATTATTATTGTTGTTCGTTAAAGAAAATAGAGCCTATGTTTTCAGAAAGTAACATGCATCAAGTGAACGAATAGCATCAAATTTCTCAAAAGAAACATGAGAAACTACAAGTCAAAATTCCTAGAGAAAAATCCTAAACTTAAGCAGTTTGATGGGAACATTAAACAAATGTAAGTCTTCAGATACACAAATACTCAAAAATAAATGCATCTGGCAGGCACTGGTGGCTCAGGCCTGTGATCCTCAGGACGCAGAGATCAGGAGGATCAGGAGGATCACGGTTGGAAGCCAGCCTGGGCAAATGGTTCACAAGACCCTATCTCGAAAAAAACCCATCACAAAAAAAGGCTGGTGGAGGGGCTCAAGGTGAAGGCCCTGAGTTTAAACCCCAGTACTGCAAAAAATTAAAAAAATAAACACACCTTTCTGTCAGGAAGATACTGGAAGATATGAAGCATCAAAATAAGGAGACAGAAAAGACAAGAGACACAAGATTCCAAGGAGGATACAACATGGAACAGTAAAGTGATGGTGAAAAGCTGCAATATCAGAACTAAATATCACAGTACAGCCAGTCCAGATTAGAGCAGGATTTAGAGTAGGACAAAATGCCAATAGCATCTCCAGGGGGAAAAAAAAGGGAAGAGATTTCCCAATGCACTTGACTGTGAAAACTAACACTAGGAGGGGTTTTACCATTCTGAGGAAATTATAAAGGAATTAATTGCAAAACACAGAAAATCAAGCAAGCAACAAAAGCATGGCAAACAACTGCATATGAAGCAAATGAGTTACTGTACATACACACTTCTGTTGTATAGAGTACGACTGTTACCTCAAGGAAACATGAACACTCAAGTTGTAAGCCAAACTAGCCAGTTTTCATAGATCACCAGTTTTACTTGGAACAATGATTAACTTACATATTATGGTTACTTGGACTTGGTATTATTTTCCAGGTATACGTTCATTAAAAAAAAAAAAAAATTCATCTCTAGGAAAACAACTCTGACAGTGTATGTTGCCAGTTCTTATGCAAAAGTTAAAATTCCAGAAAATCTGTATCCCTCAATACTTCTTCCTAATACTTAATTAAAAGATTTTTCTAATGAAATTGGTCATGTCAATATAGTGATTTGATACTGCATAATGACGTATCAACTTCTGAAAGATCTGCATAATGAGCAATTTATGGTGTTATTTAAAAAATTTTAAATTTAGGATGGGCACCAGTGGCTCATGCCTGTCAGCTTAGCTACTCAGGAGGCAGAGATCAGGAAGATCACAGTTGGAAAATACCGTGGGCAAATAGTTCCCAAGACTCCAGTCAAAAAGGGCCGAGTGGTTATGTGCTAAAAGTACTAAGTAACTGGATCACATTGGCTCTAAACTACTGATTCATGATTAGCAGATTGAGTTCCATTTATTAGGGATGGGACCTAATTGGATGAAGAAGTCACTGGGGGTATAGTTTTGAGGTATGTTTGCCCCAGACTCTTCCTTCTCTCTCTCCCTTCCTGCTATGAAGTGAACAACTTTGCTCCATCACATCCTCCCGCCATGATGCTCTGCCTCCCCACTACCCAGAAAATAGAGCCAAGTGACCATGACTGAAACCTCTGGCACCACTGAACTACACCCCTAAAACTACTATCCTAACAATCTGGCTACTTGTCCCTAAACTACCAACACTTTCTCATCTGATTACTGCAATGACCTCCAATTAGTCTCCTAGCCTCAGCCTGTATATGCCTTATTCTCTATATAGCAGACCAATTATTCCCACTAAATTGTGATTCTGATCTTATCACTCATCTGCTCAAAACCTTCTACAGATCTCCCAAGTCACTTACAATAAAGGCCAAAGCCTGTACTTACTCCCTTCTGCTCACTCTGCTCTAGCCCACTATCCTATCTAATTCAGCAAGCTTCTCCTTGGTACTTTTAATACTTTTTGATTCTCTGGCTGAATGCTCTTCTACCAAATATGGCATACACCACCCACATATTCTTCAGATCTTTTCTCAAATGTCACCTTCCTTAACTGACTTATTTAAAATTGTAACCCTCATAGGATTTGGATATAGGTCAGAGTGTTTGCCATGCATGAACAAACGCTGGGTTCCATCCCCAGCACCACAGAAATAAAAATTGTAACCCCCAGCTGGCCCTCCCCTCTCCTAGGCCAGTTGTGCTTGCTTTATGTTTATGCATAGCAGTTATCACTGAAGAACATTTTTTACTTATTTACTCAGTCTGTCCTTCCCATTTACAACACAGATCCTAGGAGGGAGAAACTGACTGTTACTAAAATTTCTTTCTTTTTTCGGAAGGTACTGGGGATTGGACCCAGGGCCTTGAGCATGCTAGGCAAGTACGCTACCACTTGATCTGTGGCCCCAGTCCTTTTGTTTACATTTTGTTTTTGAGATAGAATCTTGCTGATTTTGTCCAAGTTGGCCTATACTCAATCCCCTTGTCTGAGCCTCCTGAGTAGTTGTAGTAACTGATATGGTACCTACAATGTAATACCTATCATGCAATCAATACTTATTGAATACATAAATATACCATGTTGGCAGAAATGTAAATTGGTTACATTTACATTTGTAAATTGTACATTGCCAGCAACATGCCTATTTCAGTCAAATTTACAACTTTGGTTTTTGGCTCTTTTGAGACAGTGTCTCATTGTGTATCCCAGGCTGGACTTAAAACTCATAATCCTCTTGCCTCAGTTTCCCAAGTGCTGGTATTCCAGGTAGATACCACCACAATGGGCAAAAATATAACTTTTGATACATTTTCTTTTTTTTTTTTTTTTTGCAGTACTGGGGTTTGAACTCAAGGCCTCACACTTGAGCCATTCCACCAGCCTTAGAAGTGATAAACATTTTTGCTGAATACCTCAAGGTTCAAAAATTCTTATGAGTTCATGTATTATATTTTTTAAAAAGGGCAAAAGATAAATCAAAGTAAAACACAAGAGGATGGGGACATAGCTCAGTAATAGGGCACTGACATAGCATATGCAATACCCTCGGTTAGAACTCTAGCACCACCCAAAACAAAAGACAAAATATATACTTATACACACACCAAAAAAAAATTTTTTTAAAAGGCTAAAGGCAACAATGTTTTCTAAGTTAGCAACTTACAAAAGTTGGATGGGAGGAAGGCTTAGTAGTTTGTTGATCTATGACAGAGGACGGAAATAGGTAAGAAGATGATAAGAGGTATGACTATAAATGTAAAATGTAATTCTGAGGTATTTAACCACTGAAAGAATGAGACCAAGTGGTAAATAATAAAAAGGAGCCTAAATGTAAGATAGTTTGGAAAGGTATATATATAGCCTACAAAGGACAATGCATGAGAAAAGTATACAAATGTAGGGAGACATGAAACTGGATGAGAATGAAGAACAATCACAACAGAGGTATAAAAATGAAGTATGAAGTGAGATGAGAGAGGCACCTGGCTGTCTAGGCACTCTAATGAAAGAAAGTATAGTACTGAAATAGAAAAAAATCTTGACTGGAAATGTCACTCAGGTACCTAATGAACTCATACCCAAGTGATGCTCCAAGACTAGGACCTCTGAGAAAATGTCCTCAAAAGTACTTTGGAAGAGGACAGGAAGTTAAAACAGGTCCTGTTTGCAGGCAAGCACCAGTGGGAGAGGGTATGGTAAAAATATGGTGGATGTACTTTGTATTATGTGTATGAAATTAGAACAATGAAACCTGATAAAATTGTTCTAAGCAGGAGGAGGGAGGGATGAGGGAGAATGATGGAGGGAGTGAATCTAATTAAGATATATCATAAGCACAAATGTAAATGTCACAATGAATACTCCCTGTACAATTATATGCTAATGAAAAAAAAAAGTATTTCGTATGGAAAGGTAAAACAGGTCCTGTCTGAGGGTGGGTACTAAAGTAAACAGAGATGAAGGAGGGTGAATATGGTCAATGTACTTTGCATATGTGTATGAAAACGGAGCAATGATACCAGTGGGAGCAGGGAAGGATATAAGGAAAGGGTGTGGGAGGGTGAATGTAGTGGAAATATTATGTACTCATGTATGAAAATGGAAATACAAGACATGTTGAAACTATTCCAGAAATGGTGGGGGCAGGGGATAAATGGGAATGATGGAGGGGGTGAATTTAAATACAATGTATTGTAAAAACTTTTGTAAATTTGCAGATGTCACAATGTACCCCAGTACAACAAAAATATTAAAAAAAAAAAAAGAAAAAGAAAATAGAACAATGAAACCTGTTAAAATTGTTCTAAGAAGGGGAAGGGAGAATGATGGAGGGGTGAAGTCTAATTAAGATACATTGTAAAAACATATATGCGTCACACTGAAACCCCTTATACAACTAGTATATGCTAATAAAAATGTAATCAAACTGCTGGGTGCTGGTTGCTCACGCATGTAATCCCAGCTACTCAAGAGTGATCAGGAGCATCAAGATTTGAAGTGAGCCTGAGAAAATAGTTTGAGCAACCCTATCTCAAAAAACAACTAATACAAAACATGACTGGCAGAGTGGTTCAAGTGGTAGAAAGCCTGCCTAGCAAGTGTGAAGCCTAGCGTTCAAACCCCAGTACCTCAAAAATAAAAAGTAAGCAAACAAAAAAAGTACTTCAGAGGTATCAATGTCAATTAAGCATGCCAGCCTGGTTGTCATTTATTCACCTGCACAAACTTCCTTTCCACTCCTTTCCCCACCATCCAGTTTGTCTTCTTGCTTCAGTGGAGGATCACATACAGCTTGGCTTCTTTATCACCTACCAGAGGAAAAGACACAGCATTAGTATGTAAATGCTGGAGTCAAAGTATCATTCTCCATCTCAGGATGAGCCTGGGCCCTCCAGGCCTTCTGAGGATGAAGACATAGTTTCCAGGGATGCACAAGGAAGAAGCTCTGTGAAAAAGAACAAAGTGATGACCTTCTGCCTAGTTACTAAAGCACTCAAGTGTGTGGGCAAAGGCATTAGACTTTTTCAGTCTAACTAAGCCATTTAAAGTCGCCACACATCCAGAAATGAGGGAAAGGAGAACTAACTTCCAGAATTTTAGTTACATAGGAAAACTGTTCATTCCTTCTATGACTGGTTGCTGTTCTCTAGCACCATACTCCTACTCAAGTTTCTGAGTAGATTTTAACTATGGCTCTTATTTCTGCATAAACTTAATACTAACATAGCCTATACCAACACATACCTATCAAAACTAAGCCACAGAGGTATAATGTGTACAAAGGTGTTCAGACAGTATTCAGGAATAAAACTGCAACAGTTTCCCTAGAGTCCTAATATTTGCCTGATATTTGTTTAAAGCATTGTTCTCTTGAGTAAAACTGTGTCATATCTGAAATGTCCTATGAATATATGTTCATCATCTGTTAAAAAAAAATCAGTTAAAGGACACTGTTGGGATAACGGGTAAACTTTAATATAAACTTTGGATTAAATAATAAAGTATCGATGTTAAATTTTTTGACTTGGTCACTGTACTATGGGTATGAAAAGGAATGTCTCTGTTCTTAGAAAACTCACACTGAACTAATAAAGGGAGCATGTATAGAACTTAGTCTCAAATGGTTCAGAAAGACAGAAGGGAAAAAAAGGCAAAAAAAAAAACAACAAAAAACCTAAAATTGCAAATGACTGGTGATTTTGGGAAGATCATTAATAATAATTTTCTGTATTGTGCCAAGTTTTATATAAAGTCTGAAGTCATACAAAAAAGCTAAATCATAAAAAAAAACTTAACACACCATTTACTGGTGTGGTGACAAAGCTTGGTCACCAATTTGTAACTGGGTATGGCAGAGATAGAAGGATCTGGCCTGATTTAAACAGTAATGTACAAAGAAGGAAACAAGAGAGGGGTGAACTGGCTTGAAGCAACCTGTAAGAGGCAGAACAAATTTGATATTCTGTAGAGTACCATTTTTCTGGGAAACATGCAGGCAGGTATAACCATTAGGCCATTGGATATGTAGATCAGGAACTTGGAATAGGCTGAGAGAGGAAGTGGGAGTTCACCACTTGTCAGAATTGTCATCATGGCTGAGTATGTAACGGAATGTCACTGTGAGGGCTTACAGAGAACATACACAGTATGTGAAGATGGTCAAGGGCAGCAACATCAACAGCAAGGCCAGGAAAGGCTTCACAGGGGCACAGTAGCTGCTCAGTTTTCAATTGTCCAAATACTCCTAAAAAGCAAACAAAATATCAAAAATAGCCAGGGTGGGACAACCAGCCAATCCATACACTGTATCTTTAGTGAAACTAGCAGTAAGAACGTTAATTTTAAACTGTGTACACCCAAAATAGTCCAGGAACCACAAAGTGTGGTAGGAATAGCAACAAAGAGAAGGCCTTGTAGTAACAGATCTCAAAAACAACTAGCAAATATCCATTCTCAGAACTAGGGCACATGAGCCTCTCAAGTGTCCCATGCCAGAGCAAACTAGCTCGGAAACACTGCCTGGTCTCTGCCTATAGGCTGCTGAAATGGGTTACACAGTGGGGAAAAAAAGAAAACCCCTGCCAAATTCTACCTAATGCATCCCACATAGGAAGCCTGACAGGAAGTTGCACAGAATCCTCAGAAGGTTCTAGGAACTTGAAGCCTTCAGAAACCTGCAGCTAATATTTCTCTACAGAATGATGAGGGAACCAATGAAAACCAGGACCTAAATTAAGGAGAAAAGGACTGAGAGAAGCATGACTTGAGAGTGGGGTACAGAGATGCCAAATTTAGCAACTTCTAAAAGTGAATGCATCATCCTGGATGTCAAGTATGGTGAAGGATTACAGGAAACAAGGCTGAAAAGAAGTCAGCCTTATATAGGCACTATTTTTCTATTTTTGTTCCTTTTTAAAAAAAAAACTAAATGAACAAACAAAAAAAACTTCAGTATCACAGACTTTGGATGGATTTTTGTTTCCTTGATGAATGTTACCTTTCTTGAATGTAATATCCAGGATGCAGCAGTACCCTTAAAACATTTTGTTGCTACTCACACCTTCAGAGAGCATAGGTAATCTATAGCTAGATAACATAGCAAGAAAGCTATTACAATCTATATCTGATCACAAAAGTAGGCATGTTATCTAATACAAAAACAATGGGGGTATTTCAATCAAATTTTAAATAAGACAAGGATGCTCCCTGCCTCAACTATTATTTAATAAAGTTACAAATACTAACTCAGTAAATTAGGCCAGGAATAAAGTTAATATATAGAAACCAAGAAACTTCATATATACTAAAAACAATGACTCTGTAATAGAGATCAGAAGGATTGGCCCAAGCAAATAGTTCATGAGACCCTATCTAGAAAATACCCAGCACAAAAAAGGGCTGGTGGAGTGACTCAAGTGGTAGAGTGCCTGCCTAGCAAGCGTGAAGCAGCATGAATCCCTGAGTTCAAGCCCCAGTACCAGCAATAAATAAGTAAATTAAAATTACTGCTAACAATGTCAAAAAACAAAAAACTTAAAAAACCGTGCAACTCATTTCACATGGAGCTAACCTTTCCAATGTACAGGTTCTAGAAGACCTTCCAGAGAAAAGTAGGGAGAAAGATATGAATAGACAGTTCAGATGAATACGTATGAACCTTATATGAAAAGATATTTGACACCTCACTCATAATAAGCAGTGCAAATTAAACCTACACTCAGAAGCCAATTCTCACTTGGGTCTTTGGTAAAAAATCAAAAATTCAACACTACAGTCTACTGTTGAGGTTCTGGGAGAAAACACTCTTGTGCACTGCTAGTGGGAGTATAAGTACTTACCCCACTGGGCAATTTCCA